ACATATTCCATCAGCGGTGTGATGATAGGTGCTTCTTGTACACCTAAAAGAAAGTCCAACAGTCACGAATGAATACTAGGCCACACTTCCAAACTTTCAAAGTAAAGCAGATATGAAAGCAGCTTTTACCAGCTCGTTCAGCTTCTCTTCTTTCCAGCTGTATATCAGCACTAGGAAGATTCTCAACAGGTTTTGAAATCTGCTCAAGGAACTCCACATACTCTGGATCTAATTTCATCAAAAGAACATAAGAGATAGATTAATTTGCTTGCTCAAGTACATAAAATGATAAAATAAAAAATTTAAGTACCTGCATTGATTGCCAAACAAAATATATTTTAAAAATGCAATAAATAATTAATCAATAGGCCATTGTTTATAATTTTACACCTTTGTAAATTGTCCCTTCCCGGCCATCTTTCTTGGCATTAGGCTTTGCAACACGTTGAGAAGGAGCATATTCCACTATAGCTTTATATTGAGTTCCTGATTAACATAGAGCAGCGATATAGATTAACAGTCTCAACAGGGAATTAAAAAATCAGCTCGTTAAGCTTTCATAGAGGATTAAAATTACCCTTTTCGTTGACAAAAACATGGCCGTTAAAGAACTCAGCAAACTCACAAACATCATCATGACTGTTGAAATTCAGATACGCCCGAGCATACCTCTGATTCTTGTGACTGCAAAATTTAATTCCCATAAAATGTAAGACAGGGAGTTAAAACAAAATCAAAAGAATTAAACCAAACCCTGAAGTCACAAATACCTAAGAAAAACACAATGCCTCTACCCAAACCCAAATCCAACAAAAGGACAACATGATCTTCATACCGATACAGATACTAATTGACATAAACCGAGACCACAAAGTACACAACAACGAAAACCAACACCACAAAGAACACAACCAACAAAAACCGAAACCCGAAAGTAAACCCTCCCCAAACCCCAAAATCACAAAGCACACAACTAACAAAACCAAAACCACAAACTATACAATCAATGGAAACCGAAACCACAAAGTATACAGCGAACATGGTCATCAAACCCAGAAATGAAGCATATGAAACGCCAAATTAAACCCTCCCAACACCAAAAATTGAAAACTTTTAAACAATAATGCCCCAACAACAGAATTAGGATCCGAAAAAAATTAAAAATAAATAAAAAATAAATAAAATTACAGAAAAATGGGAAGTGGAGGAGAGAGAAAGAGGACGAACCTAGACTTTCCAGGGCAAAAAGAGGACCAATTGTAACGAGAAGAGAAACGGCCATCGATTTGCTCGAAAAAGGACGACTGTGAAAGAGAAGGGGGCAAGTGCCTTACCACAACTTTGGTTCGATTCAATGGCTCCTTCATCTGAATTCAAAAACCCCAATCAAATTCCTAATTTCAACAAACAAAAACCCTATATTTTGAATTTCTATCTATACGATCGAAGACAGTTGAAATTCTGAAAGTTTCAGAGGAATGCGTCGACGATTAATTGATGGAAAAATCGAAAGGTTTTTCATTCGTTGGGGTTTATTGTGCCCTAATTTGGTGAAATTTGGGGGAGAAGTAACTGGTGAATGAACGAATAACGATCCTTTTGATTTTCTTTTCTCTCTCTCTTAATTTTCTGCCTGTGTTTATGTGTTAATGTCGGAAAAGGGAAAAAAAGAGGAGAGAGAGAGACTTGCAATTTTCATCATCATCGTCGTACAATATTGTTACGGGGGCACCACGGGTAACTTACGGGTTACGAAGAAGGCCAACGGATAAAGATGGTTGTGTTTTACGCCGAGCCTTGCGTTAATTTGGACAGAGTCCAATCAAATGTCTAAAACCTAGTTACTATGCGTCGTGTGAAGTCGCGTGTTAAATGTTGACAGTTTCCGGATGTCTTGGCACAACAAGTCTCATATGAGGCAACTACATTATGCATGTGTGGTAGGGGTGTTCAAAAAAATCCAACCCGATTGTCCCGCCCCGATTTCCCGATGACCCGGTAAATACCCGATGGGAAATTTGGGAGAAAAAACTGTTTTTCTGGGACGGGTACCCGACCCGGGAAAATTGCATGTTATCCGGGTCGGGACATGGGCTGCGTTTTTTAAATCCCGGGTACCCGAATTTCCCGAAAATAAATTAATTTAAAAAAATTTAAAAAAACCCCTCTTCAAACTTAAGCCCAGCCCATTAGGGTTCTCAACTTCTCATTTCTCAGAACCTCATCTGCCGCTCTTCTCTCTCTTCCTCTTCTTCTCTCTTCTCTTTCTTTTCCTCTCTCTGCTTCGCGGATCTTCCTTTCTGCTTCACGGATCTTAGTGTTGAGGGTAAAAATACCCTATACACGTGGACCAGTCCCAAAGCGACACGTGGACCAGTCCCAAAGCGACACGTGGACCAATTAGAGGGCGACACGTGTCACTATGGGAAGATGCCACGCGTCCAGCTTAAAAGCCCTCAAAGGGCTCAGGCCAATTCTGTAGCGACACGTGGCCTAATGAGACGGTGACACGTGTCGTTACAGGAAGATGCCATGTGTTTAGGGCATACATGACCCCTCAGATCAGCACGTAAAAGAGGCCTAATTACATCAGGGCCCAAATCCCGAGAGATATCATTGAAAGCCGCAAAGCGGCGCCCCCAAAGAAACACGTGGCGTTCTCCGGTTGCGCAGCCAATGACGTCACGCAATTTTAGGGTACAAACCCTAAAAAGGGGCACAAGCTCCACCCCTACAAATACCCCAATCATTTATGATGGGAGGGGTGGATTAAGACATTACAAGAAAAAGAGCATTAATAGCTCCAACTTCTCTTTACTTTCTCTCTCTAGCCTTTTCCGTTTCCGATCACTGACTTGATCTTCGGAGGCGAATATTCTGACAAACGGAATATTCGTTGTTTTGCAGGTTTATCAGTCTCGTTGCTAGAAGAACGTGACCAGTATCCGAGGAAATCCAAAAAACACCAGAAACATTTGGCGCCGTCAGTGGGGATACTCGTACGTTATGGCAATAGACGGTCAAATACCTAATCCGGGCGAGGACGAACATGTAGAGGATATAATCCCTACAATCCGTACCAGCGATCCGCTGATTGCCACATTTCAAGAAGCTGATGACCCTCCCGTTACCGCAGCCTCTCTGAAGGCCGCACTCAACAAGCTCCGGAAGGAGTTTGAGAGCAATGGAGCCTCTACCTCGAGGCAGCCGCCCAGGAGAGAGGGATAGAGGGCTCCAAAGAAAGCACAAAGCAAAGCGGCTAATGCAACGGACGCAGGGAACACCCCCTTTCGTAGGCCGACTGGAAGGTCCCCAAGGGTACCGCGGACAAATTTCTCTGATCTGTTGGCGAAAACACAGTCGGTTGGGGGGAGGAGTAGGCAGCCTCGAAGAGAGGAGCCTGAGTCGTCTAGACGATAGAAGGACGCAAGGGATTACCTTCGGCATAAGCAGCGGGAACGTGCTGCTTACTCGGACACGGCCTCAACCCCAACTATGCCGGATGATTTTTCAAATCATTCTCTCTCCCAACATACCAACATGGCCATCTCAAGTCGAAGTCAAGTTGTCCGCACTCCAACTCATATTTCAGTCGTCCGCACTCCAACTCCTATTCCAGTTCAATCACTTCAATATCAACCTCCCCAGGGATTCAATGGCTTGATGCAGCTGAATCCTCAAGTCTTCGGACAATATGGGCCATGCGGGCAGACGTACGACTAGGCTCCCTACCTGGCTGGACCGTCCGTGCAGCCACAGCCAATTGATTGGCAGATGCGCCTGCTGACTCTGGGAGATAAGCCGCCTCCGTTTTCGCAAGATATTTTAACTGCCCCTCAGCCGCCGAAGGTGAAGAGTGTACTTGTGGGAGCTTATGATGGTACGGGCAACCCAGAAGAACACATCACCTCGTATAGAAACTTGATGTACCTGCAAAGTGTAGATGATGCTACCTGGTGCAAATGCTTTCCGGCCACTTTGAAAGGTGTGGCATAGGATTGGTTCAATAGCCTCCCGGTCGGATGTATCAATTGTTTTACTACTCTTAGTTTGTTGTTTGTGGGAAATTTTTCATACAACATACCGTCTCGAAAGACTAGCCTTAATTTGGCAACAATCGTTCAAGGGAAGAATGAGGGCCTACGGTCGTACGTCCAGCGATTTAACCAAGAAAAAGCCCAAATTCATAATCTACCGGATGAAATGGCTTACTCTGAATTTCTCCGGGGATTAAGGCATAATGGTATTTAATTTGACCTGGTAAGGAAAAAGATTCGGACATACACAAGTGTTTTGCGAGAAGCCGAAGCCTATATTGAAGCGGCGGACTTTTGTTCGCTCACAAAATCAGAAGCGCCGGCCAAAAGGGCTGAGAAGAAACATTCTCAGCAAGACTCGGCCGGCCAAAAGAAAGAAGGAAAAAAGAGAAAAGAAGTCTGGGTGGCCGATGGCCAGCCACAGAAGTCCAAGAAGGTCAAGACGTACAAGCCCCAGTATGAGTTCAACAAGGACTGTTATTCTATTTTGATGGAAATCAAGGATAAGTTTGAGTTTGAAAAGCCACAGCAGCCGCTGAGAGGCTCGGCTTAATACAGGAACAAGAACAAGTACTGTCATTACCACAAGGACATGGGACATGACACGAACGATTGTATCAATTTGAAGAGACTGTTGGACAAGCTAGTCGAGAAGGGCATGCTGAATTCTTATGTGACGAAGTCCAAATTTACTTACACACGGAAAAAAAACACGTCCGAGAAGAGGTAGAAAAATGATAAGAACAAAGACAAGGAAGATGATGGCAATAGCACTGACTCAGGCTTTGTGGCCGTGATATCAGGAGGCTTCGCCTCAGGCGGCCCAACCATGAAAGGGATCAAGCAGGACGCCTGAAACTTGGGAAAGGTGATGCAAATGGATGCAGTAAAGGCCGAACCCTTTCCCGAAGTAATCATCAGCGAGGCTGACCGGGGGAGGTCAAGGCTCTGCACAATGATCCCATGGTATTCATCATGAAGATAGCCAATTTGAAGGTTGGACGGATATTGATTGATACGGGTAGCTCGACTGACATCATCAGCTTGGCCGCCTTGAAGAATCTAAGCTTCCCAGAGGATGCTCTTCAGGACATCACTCACCCATTGGTAGGATTTAGGGGGAATATTATCCACCCAGTTGGGCGGATAGACCTACCCGTCCGCTTTGGGCAAAAAGGGGAAGGAAGAGATATGGTTGTCCGCTTCCTGGTTGTAAAAGAGTTGACTGGATATAATGTCATACTCGGCCGTCCTACACTGAACGCAGCCAAAGCAGTCATTGTACCTCATCTAATGCTGCTGAAGTTCGAGAGGATGGACAGAAAAATTGGGACAATCCAAGGAAGTCAGAAAATGGCTAAGGAATGTAATCAGTTGGCCGTTAAGCCTACAGCGCGCGGACCAAAAGTATCCGAACAGAAAGAAGAAGGAACCTCACTCCCAGCATACCAGGTCGGCCAAAAGCGTAAGGCGGCCAAGATAGAGCAAGCATAACAGCTAAAGACTATCGGTCGGCTAGAAGAGCTAAGGCCCCAGCCGGCTGGCAGTCACCAAGACATAGTGCTTGACCCCGATCAACCAGATCGGACGGTTAGTGTGGGCACTATAGCTTTAGGTATGCTTGGGGATGAGTTAGTTCAACTGCTGAGAAAATTCAATGATGTATTTGCATTTGACGTTGGTGAGATGCCAGGAATAAGCCCTGACCTGGCCGTGTATAAGCTGGCTGTGAACCCAGCCGTTAAACCTGTCCGCCAGAAGAAAAGAAATCATGGAGAAGAGAGGAATCAGGCGGCCGCAGCTGAGGTAAAAAAGCTGCTGGACGCCGGTTTCATTCGACAATGTTATTACCCGGACTGGGTAGCTAATGTAGTTCTCGTGAAGAAGCCGAATGGAACTTGGAGAATGTGTGTGGATTACACCGATCTGAACAAGGCATGCCCTAAGGATAGCTTTCCCTTGCCCAGAATCGACCGCCTGGTTGATTCAACGGCCGGGCATGCCCTGATGAGTTTTATGGACGCATACTCCGGATTCCATCAAATTCCCTTATGGGAAGAAGATCAAGAGAAAACAGCGTTTGTAACTAAGTAGGGGTTGTACTGTTACAAAGTTATGCCATTCGGCCTCAAGAATGCCCCAGCTACCTTTCAACGACTTGTTAATATAGTCTTCACAGATCAGCTCGGCCGGAATATGGAGGCGTACATTGATGACATGATTGTCAAGTCAAAAGAGCCGGCCGACCACATGAAGGATCTGCGAGAAACTTTTACCGAACTCAGGCGGCATAAAATAATGTTAAATCCAAAGAAATGTGTCTTTGGTGTTGAGTCCGGTAAATTCTCGGATTTTTTATTGATCAACGTGGAATTGAAGCCAACCCTGAAAAGATTCAAGCTGTCCTGGACATGAAGTCACCAAGGACGATTAAGGAAGTACAAAGATTGACCGGCTGTTTAGCAACACTTGGTAGATTTCTGTCAAGATCAGGGGATAAGTGCCGTTATTTCTTTCAAACCATCAAGAAGAAATCCATGTTTGAGTGGACAAAAGAGGCCGAGGAAGCATTTGTATAGCTAAAAAGCTACCTTCATACATTGCCTCGGCTCGTCAGTCCACTCAAGAATGAGAAGCTATTTATCTATCTCGCCATCTCTGAACACTCTCTAAGTGCCGTCCTGCTTGCAGAACGGGACGACCACCAGATCCCAGTTTATTTTATCAGCCATGTACTTCACAACGCCGAGCTGAGGTACCCCCCTATTGAAAAATTTGGCTTGGCATTGTACATGGCATCGAAAAAGCTGCGGCCGTACTTCTTGGCACATTCAATTGTGGTCTACACAGACCAACCTCTGAAGAAGCCATTTACAACTTTAGAGGCAAGTGGTCGTATGCTCAAGTGGGCCTTGGAAATGAGAGGCTTTGACATTACGTTTGAGCCAAGAAAAGCAATCAAGGGACAATCCTTTGCTGATTTTTTAGCTGAGATGACTCGGCCTGATCTTCAGCCGGCCGGAGACCAGATCTGGAAGGTGTTCGTGGACGGTAGTGCAACAGCTACCGGGTGTGGTGCAGGTGTCATATGTCAGTCTCCCAAGGGAGATAAGTTTGAGTATGCTATGAGATTTCAGTTTCAAGCCTCTAATAATGAGGTCGAGTATGAAGCCCTCCTGGCCGGCCTTAGAATGTGTAAGGCGGCAGGAGCAACAAAAGTGGATGTAAGTTCGGACTCTCTACTTGTAGTCGGCCAGGTGAACGGAGACTTTGAGGTAAGGGAGTCGGCTATGATGAAATATCTGAAGATTGTCAAGGAGGAGGCTAAGGGCCTAGATCATTTTACTCTGCAACAAGTTCCTCATTCGTCTAATCATCAGGCGGACGCCCTCTCTAAATTAGCATCCTCAACATCATGTGATACCCCCAAATTAGTATTTTGGGAGGTAAAGGAAAGAAGGAGTATTGATGTCGAGCCGGTACATATCATTGATAGAAGCTCCACTTGGATGGCGGGATCATTTCTTATCTAAAGGATGGATTACTTCCGGCCGATCCTAAAGAGAGCTGGCTGATGAAGAAGAGAGCGGCCTGGTTCGAAATGAAGCAGGGGGAGTTTTTTAAAAAGGCATTTGTGAAGCCGTACCTGAAATGTATTACTCCTGAGAAAGGGCATGATGTCCTGGACGACCTTCACCAGGGGCAGTGCGACTCTCATATTGGAGGACGAGACTTGGCTGAAAAGGCTGCCCATCTGGGCTACTACTGGCCGAGCTTAAAGTCGGACGCCATGAAAATGGTGAAAAAATGTGACAAGTGCCAGAGATTTGCAACCTTGATCCATCGCCCTGCTAACAGTATGTCGGCCATAAGTAGTCCGCTCCCCTTTGCCAAATGGGGGATGGATATCTTAGGGCCGTACACGCCAGCATCTTGTCAAAGGCGTTATGTGTTTGTAGCAGTAGACTACTTCACAAAGTGGGAGGAGGCCGAGGCTGTACGAGGCATCAAGTGGACGGATGTTTCAGCCTTCATATGGAAGAGTATCATTACACGTTTTGGCGTTCCTCAGTCTATGGTGTTCGATAATGGGCCCCAGTTCGAAATGCCTCAACTTAAGGAGTGGTTGGAATACCAGGGCATAGCTCATTGCTTTGCTTCAGTTGGCCGACCACAAGCCAACGGCCAGGTAGAGGCATACAACAAGTTGATCTCTAATGGTATCAAGCGCAAGCTTGAAAAGGCAGGCGGCCTATGGGCTGATGAGTTGGTCAATGTATTGTGGTCCATACGAACAACGGCTAAGAGCTCCACAAAGGAAACCCCATTCTTTTTGGTATACGGCGCTGAGGCTATTCTCCCAATTGAGATGTATGAGCCCACTCTTAGGGTGATGCTATATGATGAAACGGCCAATTGGGAAGCCATGAAGACTGCCCTAGACTTCCTTCCAGAAGCTAGGGGCAATGCAGCGCTTAGGCATGAAATTTATCGCCTAAGGATGACAAGGGCATACAATCGTCGAGTGTCAAAGCGTCCGCTAAAAATGGGAGATCTGGTCCTAAGGAAAATGGAGGTTGTGGGTCGGGCAAATAAAGATGGAAAGCTGACCCCAAACTGGGAAGGGACGTATCGAATCAGTGAAGAAGTCCGAGATGGTACTTACCGTCTCGAAGCCATGAACGGTCATCAGATTCCGCGTACATGGAACACTGACAACTTGAAGAAATATTATGTTTTAAGTTTTTTTAGTACTTAGCCAAAAGCTGTATATACAGCTAGGTCTGTTGACCGAGCAATGTAAGCCATACGGCCACAACAATATAATTTTGACAAATTAATGAAAAGTCAAACGTTGTTATATTATTTTCCATTCTACTTATGCTTATTTGAACTTTCATAGTCTACGCAGAAACGCCGCGTGAAACTTGTAACTAGGTTGCTTGCAACACAGCAACCCGGTCGTAAAAAAAAATAATAAATAAATAAATAAATAAAAATGAGTGACTTGACCTTAAGTCACATGTATACGTCCGTTCCTCACTTAGACGAATGGAAGGTATCCTATGAAACCCCTCTAATGGGGCAAGGGCATACCTAGGCATTCTAGCCCAGCCAAACTTAGAAATTTTAAGTTGAGATAATACTTGAAATTTTTTGAGCATGTCCGAGCGATAGTTTCAACGGACAACTCGCATAAAGCCAATCAAACGGCCAAATAATATGTTGATTCGGCGTATCACCTAGTCCAAGGGCAATCATTACTATGATTTGATTAACTTACTAGGAGTCATACCCCCCAAGGTATAAACTCTACCAAGTCAATCAAACCATTCAAAATATGGACTAGGCGAACGCCGAATAAAGGGGCATACCCCCCCCCCCATTGTACGAAAACGCAAAAACGTGCAAAAAAAGTACGCGTACGAAAATGCAAAAATGTGCTAAAAGTATGTAAAATTTGCTTAGTATGAAATAAATAGAAAGGAGAACTTGAATTAATAAAAGACCGCTCGAAGGGCGGCAAAATATCTTACAGAAAACCGCTCAAAAAGGCGGCAAATAAAGAAAGTAAAAATTGACCAAAAAAGGCAGAACAAAGAGCTGATATCAAGGGGCGGCTGGGGCAGAAGCTGGATCCTGGCCTTGGACGGGCTCTTGAGAAGCGGCAAGGGACGCATCCTCAGCAGGCGCCTCCTTGCTCTCCACTTCACCGTCATTGCCGGCCGCCACTTCTTCATTTTCCTCATCCTCTGAGGTTGTTGGTATGACGTCCAGCTCAGGAGAAGGCTGTCCGGCCTTCTTAGCCTCTTCCCTGAGGCAGACGAAGTTGAGGCGTTTAGTGAAGCGCTCTTGATAAAAGGCCGCCTCACCCTCGTCCACCATGAGCTCGAACGCCTCGAAGAAGTGGCTCTTCAGCCTATCCTCAGCATTCTGTTCAATGCGGACGACCTCGCCTGCGCTAGGGGCCTGAGGTGTCTTCAGTTGTAGAGTTAAGTCCTCAACGGACTTTTTTAAAGTTTCCACCTCGGCCTTAAGCGCGTTCGCCTCGTCCAAGGCCTCCTTCAATGTTTTTAGGCTAAGGCCACCTCACTTTTGAGATTTTCAGAGGCCTCGAACCCTTCTTTCCAGCGCTGGCTGTCCAGGAGGGCTTGATCCCTCTACTGCCTCATGGTGTCCCTGGCCAAGGTCTCTTGTTCGAGGGCCTTACCCAGCTTCACCAGATCTTCCACTTGTCGCGTTGCCTTGTCGGACAGCGCGTTGATGTGGGTCTCAAAATATCGGCGCTGGACGGCCGTCTCCCCAGTAACAACATCTTGGGCCTTCTGAACCTTGTCCCAGGCGCGCTTCAGCTTTTCGTTTTCTTTGTCCTTCCATTCAAGGAAGGCGGTCAGCCGCAAGAAAATCTATGCATAAGAGAAAATGGGTTAGTGGATTAGAGAACGAAAAATTGGCTTAGTATGAGGGTTGAAAAAGTTACCTCAGTGCTGCAG